TAGAAACAAAGATAAGGTGCTTTACACGTTCTTGTCTTTTTTTGTTATTGTATCTTTTGAGGTTTTTGGTTGATTTTTTTTTTTTTTTTTTTAGATTTGCTAGTTAGTAAGTCTGCTGCTGTGAAAAGTGATACTTGTATGTTGATATCACTTTTCACAGCCTCCCAGCTAACTACTAAGTTTGAAAAGTGATATTAACAAACATACAAATATCACTTTTCACAGCAGATTTATTCATCCCTAGCAAGCCTGGGGACAAATTAAGCCCTGGATGGGGAGGTGGGTGGTGAGGCAGTGGGGGCCAGGGATGATGGCGGGGAGGTTAGCCCAGGGGACAGAGCCCAGTGCCCTGCACCTGGAGGATGGAGACCTGCTGCTGGAGACTGCTGCCCGCCATCCCAGGACTGAAGCCTGATTCCCACTGCCTCTGGGAAGGTGGGGAATTCAGTGACTGCCTGCTCCTCCAGCATTTGTGTCTCCAGAGGAGGGTAGGGCCCAACTCCTGGTGGTGGTCCTGGGGGAGGGGCCACTGCTTTGCCCCCCAAATCACCACCCAGGAGACTGTGGCTGCAAGAAAAGCCCCTGGTGGCCACATGGGCCACGGTGGCCACATTTGAGAAAATGCTGCCCTAGCTCCTGCATTTACAATTAGTCACCAGGGAAACCTCTTGGCTCTGCATACAGACGAGTGCCTTGGGTGGTGGCTCTCTTTCTCTCCAGCTATTTTACTCCATAAAGGAACTTAATTGCTTCTTCCTTTTAGCCTGAATGAAGGGTGGCTAGCATGCCCATCTGCTCTAAGGTCTGTGATTTCCCATAGATCAAATACACTCCTGATGGCAGCCACTAACACCTTCCAATATAACAATATCCTGATCTTTTATAGTGCATTAAAACTCAATTTTTCCTCACTTCTCCCCATAATTAACACAAACACTGTCTCATCCTTTTTTCTTCCCCTCTGTATCTTTTCCTAATCTTAGTATTTTTGTAATGCAAGGCCAAACTGTGCACAGTTACAATCCTTCTGGATTCTCTCTTCAGACATGGTCCTAATAATCTCCGCTTTGTACTATATCCTGCTATGTATCCCAGTGTTTGCTTTGCTTTGCTTTTCTTGCTGCTGCCAAATATTCTGTAATGTGATGCATTTAATAAATAATTGTTTTAAATATTGTCTGGATAGAGTTGAGAGGGAGGAAGGATTTTCTACGGTTCAGCCTCAAAATAGGAACTCAGGAAATTTCACTTCTATTCCCAGCTTTGCTATTGCCCTTCCAGCCTTGTCTAAACTAGGGAGTTTTTACCACAAACTCCCATCATTGCTCTCACCAGTTGAGCTGCATCATCGTTAGCAATATTGGGAGGATGAGTGCAGCCTTGCTTTGGCAGCTATTTTCAGCATTGTGTCAGTGAAACTCGGTCAGAACAAGTCTAATCGGCAGGATGGTGAAAACAGCTGCCAAAGTCAAAAGAGGTGTGTCCTCACACCAGGACAGCTGATAGCAAGGTTGGGAGTTTCTGGGGGGAAAAATCCCTTATGCAGTCAACCCTTGTTGTTCCTCACTTTTAGGATTGCTGGGAGTAGGGATGCTGTGAGTGCATCAGCACCCCTGGCTTGGAGTACAAATATCAATGAATGTATGGCTTCCATCATAGATAGGGTTTACAGTTTTTCCAATGGCTTTCTGCGCCCTCACTATAAAAATTGTTCCAGTGTCCCTGCCCACCCACAGACTCCTCCTGTGTTAAATGAGGATAGTAAAACTTATCTCAAAGTTATTGCAAACATTAGTGTTTGAGAAACAATTTGAAATCCTTGGATAGCAGGCATAACAGGAATGTGAGCATATAAAATTTGATTTAGATGTTCGAGAGGCTTTTCTTCTTACTTTCTTCAGTATCAGAGAATACCTTTCCAAACAGATTGTAAGAAGGACTGTTTAATGATTATTCATTATATCACCTCGGATGTTGCTGCAATGTACTCTTTTAGAGAGACTAGTAATTGAAAAAAGACATGGGTGGTGGCATTAATGAAGATATGAAGAGGGCCAGATGTACTAAAGGGCTGTATCCTGTGAGCTTTATTCAAGGGAGTCATTCGTACTCATGTGAGAGTCCTATTGGAGAAAAGATATAACATTTAAAAAGCTGTGAGCAATACATAAATGTATATTCCTGTAATAAAAAGTTAGCAGAGAAAAGCATGTGGAACACATAACATATGGCATTCTCTCACACCTCATCTGGCATTTGCCATATTCTGCTTGTAACTTTCTAAATTTTGTATATTTTTTCCTCAGTTTCAGTGAATTGGATTTTTGGCGGGGGTTGAGGGGGCATATACTATAATATCAGCAGGAGATGATTTACAACTACATTTGCATGATCTGAATCAGGGAGTTTAGTCTAGGTCACATCTTAGTAGAGACCACCACACTCATTAGCAGTTGTTCAGCTCATATAAATCTCCTCCTGTTTCTGATTGTACATCCTGGCAGTAATGACAGCAGTCTTTCACGTGAAAAAGAAATATTAGAGAAGTGATTAATTTATTTTAGCTAGCTTCTCATGTGAATTTGACAGCTGGAAATAAAGAGAAGCAGCACCACGTGACCAACCTGCTCACGACAGATCACAGTTTGAGAAACTCTGATCTAAATGATTAATGGGCGATTTATTTTTATTGGTCATAAGACTGAAAGCACTGGGGGTTTTTAGAGGCAGTGGTTGCAGATCTGAATTTAGTAAATGTGGCAGACTGACTTTATTTGTCAATAATTCATGTCTGATACAGAGTAGAAACACGGGTAAGGAAAGATATCAAACATCAAATCAAATATCAGGCAGACAATGAGTTATTTTCAAGATTAAAACCTTTGGTTCATGCCAGTAAACATCTGAACGGATGTTTAATTAGCATCTCAAAAGGACCTTTTTCAGCGTCAGTTACCTGGAAGGTAGATGAATACAACTGTGGGCTGAGAGTCAGTGGTTGTGTGGATACACCTTCAAAGGAACATTTGGAGAAATCAGTGTGTGTAACAGAAAGAAAAACAGGAACCCAAATGTCTTCACCCAAAGATTGATTAATTAAAATAGGGAGTAACTTAAAAATATACAGTGGATTTTCATAAGAAACTTCCTATTCCCTCAGAAAGGGCATGTATATAAATACTTTAGCTCACATGCTGGGACTAGGAATACAGGCTAACATCTTGAGCATCAAAAGGATCATCGTCTGTAACTGCAGTGGAAGGGGACCAGACTCCTAAGAGTGGAAGATGATCTAAGACACCAGAAGAGACTGGTGTGTATGTGGAGAGAGAGAGAGAGAGAGAGAGAGAGAGAGAGAGAGAGATGCTGCCTGACAAAGAGAGTGGTAGGGAATAAAGAATACATGCTCTACTAGGCTGTAACATATTGCATGTTCTCATGTAATGGCATGAAGGGGACCTGTCTAGAATAGCTTTTGCAGAATTTCATACTAGGCATGCTATGAATATCCCTTTCTTTTTAATCCAGGTTTTTCTCTCTCCTTAACAAATATTGTTTTGAGACCATCTGAGTCTTAGATTGTTTTGAGGTAAAATCCCTTCAGTGCATCCCTGAAGAGGAGAAGATCTCTTGTGAGAGGCAGCTGAACACAATACCTGACCCATAGCAATCATCTGAGGCAACCCCCATATAAATGCTCCCCAATAGTGATTGTGGTCAGTAGATGGATAGGAAAGCTGGGTGCCCTTGCAGAGTGGGAGGAATAGGGGAGTGAAAGTTACAGTAATTATTTATACAAGGGCTCCAAAGGCCATTAATCAACACATTTCCAGTCACTTTTCTGTTAGTTCTTGTTAACGTAGTTCCTCCCTGTGACTCTTTCCACTGATGACCAACCAAGAAGTAGTTTAGAAGCCTGTTATTCTTTCCAGAACATATGTATCTTATTTGAATGAACAATATTAGTTCTCCCAAAGTATTCGTATTCTCCCGAGACTGCAGAAATCTGGATAAAATTTATTACAGACATGAAGCTGCTCACCTCTGTGATATTTAGTACCATGAAGCTAATATGTAATATCAGATTTCAAATCCTTAGTTATGTTCCCTGTTTAGAGACTGTTAAATTTCAGAATGTTAGATGGTTCCCTGTTAGTCTTGCTTACAATTATAAGAAATGATCAATAATACAACAATCAATAACACTTTTTTCTGTAACTTGTCAGTGAAATACAGTAGCTTTTGAAATAGCAGTGTCTGCTTATTTGATTTGTTCATTTACATCTTTACAGTCCACAGATGTCCTTGACCTCTTTATTTTACTTGCCAGATGGCAGTAGCAACTAATTTCCCCCTTCGCCCCCCCCCACCTACTTTTCTATATTCATGCAGTTCAGAATGTTTTTTAATGATCTCATGGCCTCGATTAGTAATTTATCATTTAACACATTTACAAAACTTACATCAAAATGTTCTTTCCCCTTCCCTGTTCAAAACAAATGGAAATATTTTTCTCCTGCTAAAACCCACTCCCACAACTCATGCATTTCTTATGGATATGTCCTGCACAGTTCTGCAGTAACAGAATTTGCAGGGAATTATCAGCCTCACTTCAAATCTTCTGTGGGTCAGGGAGTAAATTGGATCAGGGACTAAAAAGGACAGCTCCAGCACTCAGGTACATATTGTCTCTGCAGGCAGAAATGATGAAAAATAGGTGAATCTGTCCAGAAGAGTGAGGAATGGTCAGGTATGGGGAGGGGAGTGTTATTTCTATCGCATTGTACCGAAGACTTCTTGGAGCCCATCCATGTGTGTTCAGTGGGGTTCAGGTTCTACAGTTTTGGAGGGGCTGGGACAGAGCCAGAGGGAACAGTTACTCTCAGCAGTATTGCCTCCCCCACTTGCCTACAGTATTGCCTCCTCCAAACCTACAGACTTTTGTGAGGAAGTTAATGCTTATTCTACCATAATCTCTGTCCCTCCTCTTTACTGTAAAGCTTTCTTTGGCAACCAGGAGACGAGCCCCTGACTACAAAGGGACGTGGAGGGATGAGTAACCAATGCAGATGGTTTTAGCGTCATGAATCGTCCAGAATCTGCTGATTTGTGGGAGAGAAACCTCCGGCCACTTCCCCAGGAAGAAGGGGAAGCCCCTGAACCTGAATGAAAGACTGCATCAGAAATTCCACCACTGCAGATGGAATTTCCTACATGGAAATAACCTGGGCACGGGATGGCGTGGCCCTATGTTATCTAGCAAGGTAATACAAAACTGAGTCACTGTAAATTGGTGTCTATCAGCAGTGACAGATTCATTATGATGTCATCATTGGGCTTCCAACATAAAATCAACATAACTTAGGACAGTGGCAAGAAGGTAGGTGGAACTGTTCTTTTAAATGCTGTTTCTACCCTTTTTGTAAGGGTAGGGTTTCTGCTCCCATGGCTCTCATGCTGTACTGCAGTAGGTTATTGTCCTCCTTTTTGGAAGTAGTTGCTTTCCAGGGGTACTGAATATACATAGCTTCTAAAGTGCTTTTGGAGCCAGGATGAGAGGTGTTAGAGAAAATATTATCAGTATAACATTTTAAAGCATATTTTCTAGAGTGGATGGGGGAATGGGGAAGGTAAAAAACTGAAGGCCTAAAAACTCTGGTGGCAGAAGAGGAGCAGACTGGTTATTAAACTGATTGTGTAATAAACAGTTAAGAGAGCTACTATGATGATTGATGGAAAGAAACACTTCTGGCAGCAACCATAAACTTTCAGCCTGAATGACTTTCAGAGAAATAACAAATCTAAAGTAAAACACAGAACAAAAGTATCTCTCAGAGAGCCCCAGCACACATCTCCTCTGTAACATGCTGCATTAACTTTCTCCTACCCAATGGCAGCTATCCTGGCACTCCACCACAGACATTTAGAAATCGAAAGATGCAGTACCCAGAGAACAATCATAACTACTAAATATCTCGTCATAATACTTAAGACATAACAGTTGAAGCAAAAAAAAAAAGAAAGAAAATTACATAAAACATCAGTCAACTAATTCTATATATTTCCTTCCCAAGAAGTCGGTTGTACAGACAATGCCAGAAACAGAAATACATTTTCAAGGGAAGTTATGACCACCCCAAAATGGAGGTCTGATTCTGCAGCCCTTATACACACAAGCACTGAAATCCTGTTATGGTATGTGTAACCTACATGCTTGAATAAGAAATCCTCAATGAGCCAGGGTTTCCCTAGGTGTTTAGGAAATGTAAGAGAGTGAAAGGCTGAAAATCTTTTCCAACCAGCAAGTGAGTTGTATAAATTACCAAAGAGAAGCATCAGATAGGAATTGAGTGGGTGGGGGGACTATTGGGTGACTGAACAGCTATCTGAAGAGAGGAGAAAACTAATCCATTAAAGTCTTTCCTTCCTCCTCAAATTCCTTCCTCAAAACCCACTTCTGTGTTGGTTACAAGCCAGCAACCAACCAATAAGTGTGAGGCTGAGCATCAGCTGGGGATAGGTGATCTATATAATTTGCTTTAAAAAATATTCAAGAGCTTTGGAACCATGAAGTTGTAAAACAGCTAACCTATAGAAACACATCCTTGTCCTTCTCTTTTCTCATAGCAAATTTCAAGTTAAATTGCAGTGACCATGTCTTCCTATGTGTTTATACAGCATGTGACACAATGAGCTCTGGAACTGACTGGGGCATATGTATGCTCCCACAATAGAAATAATAGTAATCAAACATAACAGCAAGACTAAGGCCCTGCCTGAGTCTATAATCCTTACATAGGTAAAACTCCCACTGATTTCAAGGTGAGTTTTGCCTAACTGAGGACTTCAGGATTCAACCCCCTGATGCTTAGCGCGATCTTGTTCTGCCTCTGAACTTCCTACTGTTCCAGTTAGTAGGACATTATTTGTTGCCTATTTTGATTAGATTCTAAACGCTTTGGGGAGCAGGAACTATTTTATTTTGTGCTGTGTACAGCACCAAGTACATTCTTTGGCATTAATAAATAGCAAATTAAAAAATATAGAACATTGTAGAACTATAGAACTCAGTTATCAGGGATATCTACTGATCTTGTCCTTATTGTTAGTTATTTAAAACCTAATTTATTGCTTTGTTTGTTTTTGAGTTTAGAGCTTAAGCATCTGAAGAGATTTTAGTTTCTGGACCAAGAAGAGTTATTCCCATAGCACAGAAAGTAGACAGCTCATTTGTTCAATGGATCTGAAGCAGTTCTGTGTCTTTACTCAGTAATTAGCATGTTTTTCTTTAGTATAGCATATGGCATGCTTACTTGTAAACATACCCTGAAAAACCCTTTCCATGTAGCTGGCGCTCTGAACTATGTTGCAATTTCATCCACACACGCTTGTGGAAATACAGTGGCAGTTCTGAAAGCGCTGATATTTTAACAAATTCTATGTGACATGCCCGTAACCTGAATTTCCTCTGTGAGTTTCATCATGAGAATTGGATTACACCTTGCATTCACAGTAGACCTGGTTCTCAGTTATGCTAAGGCCACTTTACGCTGTTTTGACAGCATAAAAGGTCTTCAAAGTGGGCATAGACAGCCCCCTGAGAACGTCACCTGTGTGGAGGGCCTCTGTGGTCAGTGTACAGCCTGGCTCTATGCTGGCCCTGATGCCAGCCTCCAGTTTAGGGTCTGAGGTGGGGGGCGGGGAGGGGTGGAGGAGGATTTCATCGGGGTGGCTAGTGTTCAGTGGTCCATGGAAAGCCAAGTGTAAGTTCGAGCAGATCTGGGAAACATGCAGGTGGCTTAAATTCCCCGCTGGCCCGAATACAGTAGTGTATTAAATGAGAATCAGGTCCTATATGTGTAGTTTAACCTCAGTGGAACTCATTTATAGGGTGAAATTTACCACTGTGCCAAGGGCTAACCAAAGGCCTCTGTACTAAGCTCTTGCAAGGAAATATTAAGTAGGACTTAAGTGGCATCACCGGCCTCATGCCACCCTTCCATACTGGGATGAATTTCACTCATTAGCGAGGTAACATAAAAGTTTCAGATGCTTTCAATGCATTTCAAAGTGAAAATGGCAGTGTTGTTATTGTGCTCTCTCAACAACTCTCTCTTTTCTGGACACAAAAGCAACTTGGCTTGGATACTAGAGTAGGGTTTTGTTGGAAATTTCTGTAATCAACCACAAAGGATTTGGGGATGGGAGCTTCAATTCAGTATAAGGTGATGGGTTGGCCCATGGGCCATTGATAAATGGAAAAATATTTTTAAAGAGAAAAATCTCCATTATCTAGACACTAGAATTAGCTATGCAAATGGCCATATAATCATATTGTCCTCCCCCTTCTCCTATCCTTCCTTATGCTATCATCTTTCTCCTTTTGTTCTCAACTTAATTAAGATGGATAATTTTTCAGGGCAGGGTAACTATTGTTATCTGTATTGTAATGTACATGTACATCTGTGGCACGACTTAAGTAATAAATAACTATCATAATTCCTCAGTGAACAGCAGACTTATTTATATAGCACCCATTAACATTTTTCTGGTTTCTGTATCAAAGTTAAAAACAAAAATCATCTACTTAAATGGATCTAGGACAAATGAAACAGAGAGATGTAGCTACTCTCAAAGGCAGGCAGACAAAAAAGGAGAAAACAGCCCTAAAAGGAAGATGTAGAACAGAACAGGAAATGATCTGACCCAACTACAAAGGCTTTGCAGTAAGCCTTGAAGATAGCTACAAAGGGAGGGTGATTGACTTTTTCAGATGGGGAAATCTACAATCAGGCTTTCTGAATGGAGAGGGCTCAGTCCCCAGACTGGTAAGCCAGACTGGTCCATGGAAAATTACAACTCCTTTTCCATGCACAATATGAAAAATCCTCTGTAACTGGACTAGTTCAGAGAGGCTTCAAAACCTATAGCCAGAGCAGCTTCTAGTGAAGGTAGGGCCTCAAGCATTGGGTCTAAGTTTTCTGGGGGAAGAGGGCCAGTGAGAAGAGGCTCCAGGGCCAGTACAAGCAGATCCAGTGTCCCCTTCAAAGAGAACATTGGCGAACCCCTTATGATACCTTTTTAAACTATAAGACCCAACACATGGTGCAGATGCCCTTTGACACAAACTGGGATCTTCTGAGCCACAGATTTAGCAACATGTTCATATGCTATAATGCTTCGGTTCCAAATTAGGGCGCTCAAGCAATTAAAAAAATTAATCATGATTAATTGCGCGATTGAAAGATTAATTGCGATTAATCACGCTGTTAAACAATAATAGAATACCACTTATGTAAATATTTTTGGTTGTTTGCCACATTTTCAAATAGATTGATTTCAATTACAATGCAGAATACAAAGTGTACAGTGCTCACTTTATATTTTTATTACAAATATTTGAGCTGTAAATATAAAAGAAATAGTATTTTCAATTCACTTAATACAAGTACTGAAGTGCAATCTCTTTATCATGAAAGTTGAACTTACAAATGTAGAATTATGTACAAAAAAAACCTGCATTCAAAAATAAGACAATGCAATACTTTAAAGTCTACAAGTCCACTCAGTCCTCCTCCTTGTTCAGCCAATCACTCAGACAAGTAAGTTTGTTTACATTTGCAGGAGATAATGCTGCCCACTTCTTGTTTACAATGTCACCTGAAAGTGAGAACAGGCGTTCATATGGCACTGTTGTAACCGGCATCGTAAGATATTTATGTGCCAGATGCGCTAAGATTCATATGTCCCTTCATGCTTCAACCACCATTCCAGAGGACATGCGTCCATGCTGATGATGGGTTCTGCTCATTAACAATCCAAAGCAGAGCAGACCAACACATGTTCGTTTTCATCATCATGAGTCAGATGCCAGCAGCAGAAGGCTGAGTTTCTTTTTTGATCGTTCGGGTTCTGTAGTTTCTGCATCGGAATGTTGCTCTTTTAAGAGTTCTGAAAGCACGCTCCACACCTGTAGCTATCTTTAGAAATCTCACATTTCTGCCTTCTTTGCGTTTTGTCAGATCTGCAGTGAAAGTGTTCTTAAAATGAACAACATGCTGGGTCATCATCCGAGACTGCTATAATATGAAATAAATGGCAGAATGCTGGTAAAACACAGAGTAGGAGACATACAATTCTCCCCCAAGGAGTTCAGTCACAAGTTTAATTAACACATTATTTTTTTAACGAGCATCATCAGCATGGAAGCATGTCCTCTGGAATGGTAGCCAAAGCATGAAGGGGCCTACGGATGTCTAGCTTATCTGGCACATAAATACCTTGAAATGCTGGCTACAAAAGAGCCATGTGAATGTCTGTTCTCACTGTAAGGTGACACTGTAAACAGGAAGCAGGCAGCATTATTTCCTGTAAATATAA